GTGTGTGTGTATGTGTGTGTGTGTGTGTGTGTGTGTGCTGGTGTTTCCATGCACATCTGTTGGGCACACATGCTTGTATATAAGATACAGAGAAAGGAGTCGGTGCGTCCATGGCTTGGACTCGTGGATTTCTTGACCTCTCCAGCATCTCCCAATGAGGAGCCCAGTGTCTTGAGTCCTGACCCCAGCTCCTCCCTATGAACCCAGACCCCTGAACCCCATTCCCACCCCCATCCCATCCCTTCTGATGGAGCAATTTCTTGATGGAAAATAGCAATGAACCTGGAAACTGTAGAGCCTGCACCACCTCCAAATGGAGAAAGTCCAACCCAATTCATCATCCATTCCCACTACCAAGGCCACCAGCAGCCCACCTACCCCCTGGTGTTTTCTGGAATTCAGGGACTCTGTGTGCCAGGACAGAATATCAATCATTAGAGCCCACTGATGATGAAAGGGTGGAAAAAATTGGGGCTCCTCCTGACCCCTTGCTCCTTGGAGCAGCCTGGTGTCCTCGGCTGTGTTCAGGCCAGTCTTATTGGCTAGAGCCCAGGCTTCCATTCATCCCAGGGCCTGCCTGTGTTTCCTGGGTTGCAAGGCAGGGAAACCCCCCAACCTCATACAGCAGGAGGAGTCTGGATGGGGGTCAGGGCCACCTGCTGAGAATTCTGCTCCCTCTGAGCCCTAGTTTCTATATCTGTAAAAAAGGGGACCCTGATGCCTGAGGCTCAGTTGGGGGGCTCTGTGCATCATGAAGTGTTGGGCCCACACCATGCTGGTCCCCTGGGATCTTGGTTACTGGGACAATCTAAGGGCTGAAGCCAGAGATAGCAAACATTGGCTTACACGATACTTTTTAAAAAACTAAATTAGTGGCCAACATTTTTGAAATGGGCAGTTTCTGAGCAAAGTCTGGATTTGAGCTTCCTTTGGAGGATGAGAAGGCCTGGCAGCCCTGGGGCCGTGTGCCCACGTGGATGGAGCTTTTAGACAAGCCCCGTTCTCCCCTGAGCCCCCGTTAGCAGGCCCACTTGCTGTTACCCGCGTAACTCTCGAGTAGGTGGCATTTGTGACACTTTCAGAACGTCTTGGCACTTCACAAGGGGCCTTCCTTAGTGGCCCAGTAAGCAAGTGACCTCTGCTCACGTGGGTAGGGAGGAGAGTGCAGCTGCCCCCTGACCCTCTTGGGGGCGCACCTTCTGTTCCCACCCTCAGCCTTGGCAATGCTCCCTGGCAGGGAGCAAGGGAGGACTTGTGCCTTGGGTGTGATTGCTTTTCTTTTTTCAGGAAAATACAGCACCTTGACTATTGCCCCATGTTATGTCCTTCCAAAGCCCAGGGCACTGGCTGGGTGTTGTCATGTCCTTCCAAAGCCCAGAGCAGTGGAAGCAGCACTAGGTCAAGTAACTGGGAGAATGAGGGGGTGGGGGTCCATCCCACCCCTTGCCATGAGGACACAGCCCTTTCCCCCTCAGCTGGACCCTTTCTTAATTGGGGAGGGGCCTGTCTTCTTCAATAGCTAGAATGTGGCTGCCTGGTTTCCCCCTGGGATAAGAAAATGGGGGCTGAGAGGACCAGGGTGTGGAGGGAACAGATGGCCTCATAGCCAGTTTGCCCAGAGTCACCTCGTGGATCTGCCCCATCAGGATTTGTGTAAAGGAGACGCTCTCAGATCTTTACCCAGCTTTAACTTGAAAGCCTGGGAGGGACAAGGATATTCCAGGTCCCTGGTAAGGAGTGGGGGTCTTTAGGAGAGAGGGGGTCTGAGCAGCCTCTGGAAGGAGGCCCCCTTTCCCCTTTTCCCCAAACACTGCCATCTGGTCACCTCTCAAGTACAGTAATGAAGACCACTGCCTTCTCTCTGGTTGGGCTTTTTGGAGCTACAAATTGGGGATTGACATCCGGGTGTGGTTGCTGTCCCAGAGAAGTGATGGCAGCTATTGACATTCAGTGACATCTGAGCTAACACCTCCTGGTGTAAACTCATCCCAGTTTGGGGACTACAAACCATCCCGTCTCCTGGAGGCACATCCTTTGCAAGAAAGCTTTGGTGGGAGTGGAATCACCCACAGGGCAGAGGAGAGGGGCACACTCCTCACTCAGGACCTTCATAGAGGACTCTTTTTTTTTGGTACCGGGGATTTCAGGGGCACTTGACTACTGAGTCATATCCCAAGCCAATTTCTGTATTTCATTTAGAGACAGGGTTTTGATGAGTTGCTTAGCACCTCACCATTGCTGAGGCTGCCTTTGAAAACGCAATCCTCCTGTCTCAGCCTCCCGAGCCGCTGGGATTATAGGTGTGCACCACCGCGTGCAGCCTTCATAGAGGACTCTCTTTGGTGGGGTGGGGTAACTGAAGAAATAGCTGCCCATGTGTGTTTAGGGTAACAGCACATGTCCAAAATGTTGATTTATCTGACTGGTTTTAGGGAATGTGTCTGGAGAACTAGGTGGGCTTTGTGGTCTTCAGACGCCCTGCCACACCAGGGGAGGTGTTGCAGGACTCTGGAGAGTGTCCTCGACTCCCAGGAGGAGTTAACTTTTTTACAATTTGGCTCATCTGGAGAAATGGTCTTATGGATGGCAGCTAGGGCCCGGTCCTTGGAGGAACATGACTTGCCCAAGTTATTTAGGTCAGTGGCTTCAGGTTTCTATATGGCCTGAATGCCTAGTTTTGTGTCTCTCAGAACAGAGGCAAATATAGGGGCGGCCCATCTTGCCTGTCTGTGTGGAGTTTATTAAGGCACAGACATCTTTCTTTCTGCACTCTAAAAAGTATGTGCAAATAGGAGCGCTATAAGTTGAGTCCTACCTTCAATACCATCTTGAATGGCTCTGGCCTTAGGGGCAGGATGATTTGATAGGCAGGATGGTAAGTGGTTACAGTCATGACCTCTGCAGCTTCTCTGCATGAAATTGATTCTGGACTCTGCCACTTTCTTGATGTACAACCCTGGATGCGTTATTTAACCACTCTATGCATCAGTTTCTTCATCTGCATAATGGGAATGTCAAATAAACATAATATATGTAGAGCATTTGGAATGGTATAATGTTATTATCATTTTTTAATTCTCAACATTCCTGATGAAGCTCTGATGCACGGCCAAGTTCTTTTCATGGAATTCCTGGTCTTGCTCTAAGGGAAAAGGCTGGGAAGAAGCGGATGTTTCCTGGGCTTGTAAACCCCTGGAGCATCAGCACAGGTGTCTGAGGCAACGTTGGCCTGGGCACTGGCAGGCCCCACTGCCCTGGGCCAAGGGCTCTGGGACCTTGAGGAGAAGCTTGACCTGACACCAGCTTCCTCTCTCTTCCTTCTTTTACATAGTGGTTCCTAGCATGGTCTTTAGATCCAGAAAGATCCAAGTTCAAAGCTGGGCTCTGAGGCTTACAGGCAATGACCTTGGACAATTCATGATTAGCCTCTTGGAGTCTCATTGGTGAGGGGCATGACTATACCCTTGACATGGTCAGTCAGAGGGTTGAAAAGGGAAGACAGAGGCCAGGGCAGGCTGTGGGCAAGGCAGTGGGTCAGGGGGCTGCTTTCTCTGTCTTACTTGGGGTCTCCCCACTTTCCTCTCTCTCACGGTGGAGAAGCCTCTTTCTCCTCCTTGATTTCCAGACTTGATCCAATCCAGGGGACACGAGGACTCTGGGGCTGTCCCTCCAGCCCCATAGTCATAAACCTTTGAGAGAAGCTTTTGACCAAGAGCAGGACCTGGTCTCGGGGGGCTCATTTCCACGGCCTCACCTCTCCTCTCTGCATCATGCTCTGAATTTCTACACAAGTCCTTTGTCCCTGGCCCTCCCAGACACTCATCACCACCCCCAGCTCAGCCCCATTCCAGGAGCAAGAAGGAAACATTGACTTTATTCACAGCTTGGATTTGATAAGCATAAACTGAGTGGTTCCTGGGCCTTATCACTTGAGTTATTTCATTTATAATTAGCATTTAATTAGCATCTACTTTGTTTCTGTATAATGTAGGAAGCACTTTACACACCTTTTCTTATTTAATTACCCCACGGCTCTAGAAGTGGTTATTACTACCAATTTTAATTTACAGACCCAGAGGGGTTGGGTGATGCCAGGCCATATGAAGGGACCTTGGAGCCACAGGGTGGAAAAATTGAGCTCAAACTTGTGAAGCACTTAGCAAGGTGCCCAGCACTGGGGGAGTCCTGGTTCTCTTGCCAGAATGGTTCCTTTTCATCCTTGCCCCCACTTCCCCCTGGCTTTCCCCACGGTCAGGGAGTGCAATAATTTGCATCAAATGTATCATTTCATTTGAGTCTGTTACAATTATGCAATTTCAGGCACTATGAGGGTTGGGTGGGGGTATATAGAGAATGGCCATTGGCTCCAATCCTGGATGGCCAACGCCCCTTCCTGCTTGCTCCCGTGGCCCTATCCAAGTGAGACTTACAGAGGCCAGGTCGTCCGTGGAGTCACCACAATGTCTTGTTCTTCTGACTCTCACTAGTGGAATATTCCTTTTACCCAGGACTTGACACAGCCTGGCCCCTCACTCCTCATGTGCGACCTCTCTGGGTCAGGGGCATGGAGAGGAGTGGGTCAGAGCTTTAGGGAACCTGGGTTCCCTTCTTGCCACTTTCACAGGGCCTGGCCTTGACCAAGATACCCGCTGGGCCCCAGAGGAGACCTGGCTTCTCCATCCAGCTCTGCTAGGGCAACTCACCATGGGACCCAGGGCAATCTTGGTTTTCACTGTCATCTGCAGAGTAGAAGGGTAGGACCGGCTGCTCCCTGAGCACTCTCCCAGACCTGTGGTACACTGGAGTCCACCCTCTTCCCTCCTCTGCCTGCCCCGTCAGATGGTAAGCAGCAGAGGGTAGAGATGGAGGGTCTGGAGAGACAGGATGTGGGCAGTGAGGCAGAGGGAGGAGTCTTGGATGCTCCTAGCTCTCAGGCTTGAGGAACTGGTAGGTTGTGGGTGTTGTCTGCTGAGGTGATAAGAAAAAAGGGCCAGAGTAGGTTTCAGCTGGGATAATGAGTTTGATTTTGGTTTTATTGGATTCATGCTCAAGAGATGGGCCTATTCAGCCAACATGGAGCTGAGCTGGGACGGGATCCAGGGACGTGTGCTTCAAATGTTGTGTTCTCTCTAGCATATCCCATGCAGAATGTGCAGTGCACATAGTCAGACCACTGAGGGCCAAAGGGGGTCATGGAGGGTTTGTGTAGCAGTAGAGAGAAAAGAGGGTCTCATCAGGAAAGGCTTCCTGGAAGAGGCATGGTGAGCTTTGTGTCCTAAAGATGTCAAGGAAAGGTAAGTTCTAGAGGATAACAAGAAAGAAGCTCAGTTGGAAACGTCATTAAAAACCATGCTCAGTAAAAATTGTGACTTGTCCAAGGTCATAAGGGCAATAAGTGGCAGAGCCAGGATTCCCACCAGGTTGGCCTCACTTCAGGGCCCCCATCCTCAATCTCATAAGATCTTGCTCTCAAAGCCTGGGGCCTGGTAGGAGAGAGAAAAGGGCCAGGAGCCTCCGAGTAGGGTAGAATTAGCCTCTCCCAGCCCAGGCCAGGCTTCCTGGTTGGCACATGTCCAAATTCCAAATAAGGGGACCATGGAGCCCCAAGTCTTGAGGCTTGAGGCTGCAGGACACAAGAGTTGGGACTGTTCCAGAGGCTTGGGGAATCATTTAGCACCTGTGAGCTTAGTGCACTCAGGATCTCTCTTGCCCTTCAAATTGGCCCGTAACCATGTCTGAGAGTCCATTAGTGCAACCTGACTTCGGAGTAGACACTGTCTGATTGGGCTCCTCCTCTCCATTTCACACAGAGGGGATTTTATAGTTATGTGCTCCTGGGCATAAGAGGTGGAGGGCTCTGATGGGGGACCCTTTGCAAGGAGGGCAATGTTGGAGAAGGTCGTGCCATGTGTGGGGACTGGCTCACAGGATAGAAGGACAGGGAACTGCTGGGCACCCCTGGCTGCAGTGGTGGCAGCAATGGTGAATGCCAGCCACTTGCAGTGAGCATGCAGTGTCAAATGGGGTACGTTACTCTCACTACAAATTAAAAATTAAAATTAATCAAACACTCAAATTGATTTCCTTCCCGTCTGTTTGCTCTGCTGTGCCGTCAGATGTCTGCCTGCCTACTGGGCCCAGTGCATCCCAGCCTCGTGCCAGGGATGGGCAGCTCAGGTTGCCGCAGGGGTCGATGGGATGGGGGTGCTGGGAGGGGATTGCAGACACCTCACTCCAGCCTTGAGAAATTGGGTAAGCGTCAACCCAGCCAGGAACCTGATCCTGAGACTGGATGCTGGGCTCTGGAAGGCGAACCTCCAGGAAGAGAAGCCTGGTCCAAAGAAAGCTCTTGCACTGACATAGGAAGCAGAACTCTAGAATATTCCTGCAGTCAGTAATAACAGACATCATGAGTCTGGGCAAGTCTTGTCAGAGGGACCTCAGTTTTTCCATCGGTGCAGTGGGAAGAGAGGGGCAGATGGAAGAAGTCCCTTGCTGTTTCCAGTGCTGGCCTTGCTCTGGGCTCCTCTTCTGTAGTAACTGACCTCCTTCAGACAGCCGGGGGCCCTGGTCTCCTTCCCCAGCCAGGCCCTCACTTGCCGCTTAGCAAGTGAGTGAGCCACTTAACACCTCTGAGTCTCACCTCCCTTATGGGGAATAAGCAGTGGGTGGCAGGCAGGCTCCCTAGACAGACTCTTTGAGGGAGATTAGCATGCAGGAGGTTTATTGGGACCAACACCCATGGTGGGGGTGAGGGAAGCGGCATGGGGCAGATGTGAAGTTGGGCTGAAGTGCAGTCACTGTCCTTGCAGGGTTGGCCTGCGTTGGACAAGAGGGTCAGGCCTCCATCCCTGCCTAGCTGACAGGACCCTGGACGAGGAGGCTGGTCACGGGAGGGGACTCACTTGTGCCTGGGCTCCGACTCTCCCAGAAGCTGGAGATGAGTGCTTCAGCCCGAGGGGTCATCCAGTTTGTGCTTCATGGTGTCCCCCCGACACCTGGCGTGAGGGGTCCCTGGAACGAGGCTGTGAAGCCTGGTGGGAGTCGGCACAGGGCAACAGCGGTTATGTTCTGAAAAAGTCTTGGGGGTTTCCGGCCCCACTCCACATGCCAAGTTCTACCCCTTCTCTCTTACAGATTTCTGCCTGAGACCCCTCCATGCCCCCTTCTCTCTCGATACACCACCCCAACAGCCCCCTCCCCACCTCTCCCCTTCCTCTGAGAGTCACAGGCAGTGCCTACAATTCAGATCTGACCACGTCTCCCCTGAGTCATTCATCCTCTGGGTCATTCAAGGACCCTGCAGACTTGACCTCCATCCCCTGCCCTCCGGCACCCCAGCCTAAACCCTGCTTGTTCTTCTGCTCTTTCCTCAGCAGTGCTGGTTCTTTCTTCCCTTCCTTCCTTTCTTGCTCACTCCCTTTCTTTATTTCTTTGTCCCTTTTTTCCCCTGCTTTGCAGCGCTGGGGCTGGAACCCAGGGCCGCAGCATGTGTGCTTTCCCACTGAGCTAAGCTCCCGACCTCTTTTGCCTTCTGGAGTTCACACAGCACCCCAGCACCCCGTGGGCAGGCCACTCCTCTCCTCTCCTCAGGGCCAGGCTCCATGGGATCCCAACTCTCAGTTCTGTGACCCTGCCTGCCTCCGGCGCCCTGTGACTTTGGGATCCTATGCCCAGTGTGAAACTTGTGGCTGTGCTGGACTGTAGCTCCCCATTTTCCATATTGGCCAATCTGTGTCTCAGTCTCTGTGAATGGGGAGACCCCCTGGCTTCTCCTTCCCGGGGTGGCAGGGAGCAGGGCCCCTGTGATAGACTCGTAGGCAGCAGAGCACTTACTTCTGCATACTGCAGGTGGGTGTGATTAGTACAGAAAAAGCTGCTGGGACAGCCACGGATTGACCTGGCCCTTCCAGCAAGCTGTCCTGGCTCCTGCTCCATGAGCTCAGGGGCCCCTTGCCGACCTAGGCCAGCTCCTGCAGAGCTACTCAGTCTCCTCAGGAAGGGCCACGCCAGACCAGGCAGACCTGGAGCCAGTCCAGCACCAGGTGGACGGGAGAGTGCAGCACAGCTGGGACATAGATCTGCACAGGACATTGGGGGACGGGAGATGACACTCCACAGGGCCACCCCCTGGACTGTCCCCAGGTGGTCTGGGATGGAATGAGGCAGGCTGGCTTGGTGTGGTGACCCTGGCCAGTTCCTGCTCTCTGGAGCCTCAGTTTGCCCTCTTTCCTTGGGGTCTGTAGGTCCGTCTACCCACTGGCCCTTGAGGGTGAGGCGGGCAGTGCAGCTGGCTGAGGTTTCAGGCCAGGTCTGGTCAGGTCAGCTGGTGCGTCTGCTGCTCTCTGGGGCAGACTTTGGGGTCCCGGGAGGATGCTTGATAGTGAGCCGTCCTCCCCATACAGCAGCTGGCGGCTGCGACAGGAAGTCCAGAGCCTGCTTCACCCTCTGTCCTGTCCAGGGAGACGGCAGGTGTAGAGAATGACATCTCTTCACAGATGACAAACGAACGGCCCAAGGATCCAACTCAGCTCTTGTAGGACAACAGGGACTTCCTGGCCCCCATGCAGTTGCCCAGCTGGTGGAGCAGGAGCAGGTGAGGGTGCAGGGGAAGTTCCGACTGGGGAGAGGAAGCAAAAGGAAGACGTGGAGTGCCCCATTGGGAGGGCTGGGAAGGTGAGCTTGGGATGGAGAAGGTGTAGGAAGACACAAGCCATCGGCAAGACGCTGGCAGCCCCTCTGCACCACTGCAGGGTCCCCGGCTCTGGGATCCTGCTCTGGTGGGGTCATTTGGACCCTTGTATCTTCCCCATTCCCCAGAATTGACCCAGAATATGCCCCAGAATTGACGAGATATGGCAGATGATTAGTCCAAATTTAGAGTTATGGAGGATGGGGAGGGCCAGGCGATGCCTTGAGTCATTCATTTGAGCCAAAGTCTTCTGCTCCCCATACTGCTGCCACCTTGGCCACAGCCTCAGTCCCCAGTACACCTTGCCTTGTCCAGGACCTGGGCATCAGAAGGGGTCCTTAGGTGCCACATCTGAATGGTGGGCTAGGAAATAGTTGAAGGAGAAGTGGCACTGTACCCCACTTTGAACTCCAGTGTCAACCTAGAGCCTCCAGTTTTTTTTTCTTTTCTTTTTTGGTACCAGGGAATGAACCCAGGGGCACTTAACTACTGAGCCACATCCCAGCCCATTTGTTATATTTTTATTTACAGACAAGAGGATCTCACTGAGTTGCTAAGTGCTTTGCTAAGTTGCTGAGGCTGGCTTTGAACCCATGATCCTCCTGCCTCAGCCTCCCAAGTTGTTGGGATTACAGGAGTATGCCACTGTGCCTGGCTAGAGCCTCCAGGTTTAAAATATAACTTTCTGGAGGGCCCAACAGATGTGTGGTCCAGGCCCAATGTTCCCTGCAGCCCCCTCTCCATCTCCCTCTCCTTGTTCTCTGGTTGTATGGACTCTTTTTCCTTCTTCTCACCACAGGACCTTTGCAGGTATTATTCCCTCTCTCTGTAGCCTCACTCCTCTGTGTTAGTCTAATTGACCTTTTGAAGCGAGATCACATGTGATGCTCTGCAGCAGGAGGTCTCTCCTGACTCCCCACACCAGGCCAGGCCCCACAGATCTCTTTGCAGTGCTTGTCCCAGTCATAATCTTACATTTCTTTGCATGATTGGTCTGAGGTCTCAGCTCAAGGTCTCTGCTGTGCCTACCCCACCCCTGGCACAGTGCCTGGCATGGAGTCGGTCCTCAATACATGTTCACGGAAAGAATGGAGAACACAGGATCTCACTTCAAATCTTGGAAACCCAAACTAACCCTTGCTTTGTTCTTCTCTAAAATGGGAATAACAGCAGTTGTAGTGTGTGGATGCATTAGGGAGGGAACAGCTCCCAGTACATAGTATGCCATGAGTAGAGAGGAGAGGGAGACTGGCGTGGGAAGGGGTGGTGGAGAAAGGTTGCTGGGGAAGGAAGGAGTTAAGAGGTGGTAGACCTGGATGTGGGGAGAGCAGATGTGTTTAGAGGTAGTAGGGAGACAGTCTGGTTGGGTGGGACATTTGTCTGGATGCTGCTGATGTATTTTTCAGTCTGGTTCAAGAAACAGGGGTTATGGAGAAAGAGGATGGGAAATGCCTCCTAGGATTCCATGTAGGCTGCTCCCTTAGCCCAGGCTGGCCCTGGCTTGATGACTGGGTTTGGGATGCTGCTAAGTTTTTCCCTGCTGACCTATGGAGACAGCTGGGAAGAGCAGAGGGGTCCCAGGAAGACATCTGCAGGTTCACTGCTACGGGTACCAGCCCCGTGGTGGGGAACAGCCAGCCTTCGGCCTCTGGGGTGGGAGCCAGGGGCTGTCCACACTGGCCTGGCCTCTAGCCCTCAGCTGCTGCTGCTCCGACCGTGAAGAGTGGGTCCTGGGAGGTAGAGGTGGAAACAGCCCCTGGCCACTAGCATAAGGGGGTCCCAGAGAGGCCTCAGTACTTGCCCCTTGTGCAGAACTCCTGGATGAAGGGCCTAGGCCTGGACTTGTTGAGGAAGAAAAAATAAACTAGACTTAAGTTCATCATCACTTGGGGGCACACTAGATGCCCCCATACTTAGGGAGGAAGTTGAGGCTCAGAGAAGGTGCACTAGCTCTTTGAGATTGCACACACACTGGGGCTGGGGATGTGGCTCAAGCGGTAGCGCGCTTGCCTGGCATGCGTGCGGCCCGGGTTCGATCCTCAGCACCACAAACAAAGATGTTGTGTCCCTGAGAACTGAAAAATAAATATTAAAAAATTCTCTCTCTCTCTCTCTTAAAAAAAAAAAGAGATTGCACACACACAAAAGAGCTGGGAGGGGAGCTGGGGTTGTGGCTCAGTAATGAGCGCTCGCCTAGCACATGCAAGGCCCTGGGTTTGATCCTCAGCACCACATAAAAACAAATAAATAAGGTATTGCATCCAACTACAACTAAAAAATAAATATTAAACAAAAAGCTGGGGGAGAGGGCAGTAATTCTCAAGCTTAGACACAGGCTGTGTGGCTCCCAGGACAAGAGAAGTGATGGGGAGAAGTGGTTGGGAGGCAGAGGGGAACTGCTGCTCTGCTTGGGACTCTGGGGAAGGCTGTTTGTCTCTGTTTGGCCTCCCTGGGGCCCACCTGGAAGACTCTTCAGGAGGTGTGTTGAGCCAGTCCAGGCAACAGCCGTGAGCTCATCTCCCCCGAGGGCCCCAGGAAGTCTGGGAGGAAAGCCGAAGGAAAATGGCCGGGAAGGAGGGAAAGGGGAGACAGTAGGAGACTTCAGGGGAGGGGGGCCACAAAGCCACGCGTAGGTATAGGGAAGGAAAAGGGCTTTTGTCGAATGTCTATGGTGTCTGGAGCCACTCCTCTGCTCAGGAATGAATAATTCCTTCTTCTCAGGAATTCTTCACTTCTCACCTTGCTGGCCAAGTATTTTTATTCCCATTCTACAGAGAAGACTGAGGCTGGAGCTGCACTGTGTCTGCCTGACACCAAAGTCTAGGGTCTTTGCGGGGCAGCTTTGTGATGGGGGTGTGTGGGAGCCTGGCCCTTCCTGGACTTGCTTCCCTGCCACACACACACACTTCTCCCACTTCCAGCTCCGGTCAGCAGGGGGAGGCTGTGCTGCATCTGGTTGCAGATGTGGGAATCCAGATCGGGACTGGGCTGAGGAGAGGAGGAGAGGGGGAGGCACCCTGCAAAATCTGCTGGGTCTGGAGGCTTTAGCCTTGAGCATCTGTGTTGGTTGAAAGATGAGGATGGGGACATCTCCTGAGAGTTGCCAAGTGACAGCCTGCTGCTGTCCTGGATCTACGATGAAACTCAATTCAAGTTGTCCCCAAAGCACACCCATCATTCCCTATCTCCCCCTTCCAGGTCTTTGCATATGCTCTTCACTCACATGGGGTGTCCATTCTCTTCCTTTCTATTTATCCTTTAATGCCACCTCCTCCTATTTATCCTTTAATGCCACCTCCTCCAGGAAGCTTTCCTGGATTACTCCCAACAGCTCTCATACCTCCTGCTTTTCTCATTTTCTGATGGCAGGAATGTATCTAAATCACCTGTGTGTCCCCACGATCTCACACAGGATGTGGGGCACAACAGATGCTTAGAAAACAAATGGGAAAAAAGCATCCCTATGTGGGTGTTGGGGTACAAGAAGTCCAGGGTGGGAATACGGCCATGAACATGAAATGCTCACTTGCCAGGTGTGTCCAGGATCAGGCTGACCAGGAGCCTAGGGCTGCACTTTCCTCTCCAGAGTGTCCTGATGGTACAGGGAGATCTGGGACTTGGAGGAGCTCTGCAAGGAGACTGCTGTACTCACTTGGTCCCTATTCTGCTCAACTTTGCCTCATTCCCTGGTTCTCCTGATGAGATGGGAAAGGAAAGGTCATAGAAGAAGGAAGGGTGCAGACCAGGCCTGAGGAGGGTGGATGGTGGCCCTGCTTTCACAGGCAAGGAGGAGTTGGAACTCTGGGCGTTGAGGGTCTGCCTTGGGATTCCAGAGCCTCAAGGCAGACTCTCCATCTCCAGAACAGCTAATTCTATATCAGAGTTGGGCATGGCCCCAGAGATGATGCAAATCAATGTTCTTCCAAAGAAGGGTAAACTGAGGTGCAGAGACGTGTGGGCATTGGCGCAAGGTCCCACAGTAGGAGGCAGAGGTCACCCTGTAAGCCCTCTCCTCCCAGCAAGAAAGGCGTCTTCACCTGGGGTTCAGATTCCCGGGTGACAGCTATTTCTTCGATCCCCCTCTTAGCCTCACAGTCCTGGATGCCCAGCATACACTGCCCCACACTCCAGCCTGCCTCCCGGTGTGGCTGCCAACAAGCGCTGAGCGCCCCCTGGATGGCTTGGTCTGGGCAGCTCTCGACTGTCCTTCTCCTTGACTCACCTCCAGCCCCGGAGGGCCGGGCTCAATCGCGGCGGACAAGGCGCCGCCCGCACGGCTCCGGCTGCGCCACCGCCCCGGCCAGTTCCCGCGCGGCGAGGCTGTCCTCCCTGGCGCCCCCGGGTGGGGCAGGTCCAGCCGGGTGCGCTATGCCTTTAAGCCCCGGCGAGATGAGAGCTGTCAGCAGCAGCCGAGGCTAGTGTGGGACATCGCCACCCGCCAGGCCCAAGCGAGGAGCCGCGGAGCCAGAGGAGAGCGGAGGGGGCGGCGGGGCTGGGGCGCGGTGGGTCCCCTCGCCGCCCACTGCGCGCTCGAACCCCCGGGCCCCCGCGAGTCGAGGGTGGCACCGGGTGTTAATGCGGGGAATGTGAGAGGCAGCGCAGGGCTTGAGGAGGAGGGGAGCGGGAGAGGGCGGTGGCGAGACAGACGGAGAGGCAGCGGGAGAGACCGAGGAAGGGGTTGGGGTCAGGTGGGAGAAAGGAGAGCCAACACAGGAGAGGCAGTGACAGAAAAGGGGGAAAGAAAGGAGAGCGCGCGGCTGCGGGCGGCGGCGCTGGGAGGAGGTAGAGGAGGAGGGAGCGGGAACCTCTGGGCGCGAGCGCCGGAAGCCGGTGTCCGGCTCCGTGGCCGGGGTTCGGGCTTGGAGGGAGGAGCGGGGACGCCCGCGGGGTCCCCTCTGGGAGCCACGGGGGACCTGAGGAGGAACTGGTCCAGGAGAGGATGCAGGGCCGCGCGCCTGGAGCTCCGACCGGCCGGGGTAGTGGGGGGCCTTTGTGAGCGCCCCAGGAGGGCGAGAGTGCGGCGGCAGGGGTGTGTGCGCGCCCGGGTGTGCGCGTGTGTGCGCGAGTGTGAGCGGCCGGCGAGTGTGAGCGCGCGTTAGGGATTCTGCTGGCATCGCAGCGTGGAGAGCAGAAGGCAGGAGCCTGGCGCGCAGGGGAGCGCGGGACCCTCCCGCGCACACGCCGCGCGCTCGCTCTCTCTCTCACACACACACGCACACACACACACGCCCTTCCTGCTTCGCTCCTTGCTGCTGCCACCACCATCTCCAAGCCTAGCCCTGCGGAGCGGGAACCCGAGTCGGAGCAGGGACCCGAGCAGAACCGAGCTGGGGGATGAGGGCCCAGAGCGGAGCCGAGCGCGGACGGCGCGCCCGGGACGGTGAGTGTGGCCAGGTCGGGACGCTGCGGCGGGGCTGGGGCCGCAGGGGCGCAGGCGGGGTAGTCGGGGTGCCTGCCCGCCGGCAGCGCCGCGTGCGCGGCCTCTGATTGGGCGGGAACCTCGGGGGCAGCGGTGGGGGTGGGGTGTTGAGTGCGCGTCCGTGAAGGCGTGGACGCGCGGAGCTGGAGGTGGGAGGTGCGCGCTCGGCACCCCTCCCGGTGACAGCGCTCCTGTTAGCAGCTCGGCCCCGCCTAACCCTCACCTGCCGCCAGAATCCCCGAGACTTGAAGCAACTTTGTGGAGGCCCCCGGGCACGGCGGGACGGGAGAGGGTGGAGATGGAGGCGCATTAATGGTGGAATTATGGCCTTTCTTTTCAAAGAGGAGAATGAGAGGGAAGTAGGGTGAGGGCGCAGGCCAGGCCGCCTGGTGGACCGAGGGGTGCGCCTTTGCTTTCTTGTCAGGACAGCCGCCGGCTGTCCTGGACACCCCTACCCCAACCCCAGTCCCGAGGCTCTGCGCTGGAGCTTCTCCGGACTCCAACAACCCCCAGTTCTGAGGGCTCAAGAGGTGGAGGAGAGGGTAAACCTGCAGTTGTGTGTATTTGCATGTGTCCCCGCACCTTCTGGGCTGCGGGATGGGCGCTGGAAAAGGGAACTACCAGCAAGATGTGCCTCATCAGACTTCAATGCCCGGGAGCTCCATGGGGTTGTCCCCAGGCCCACCAGCCTGGTATCCTTAACCCTGTTTGTAGCCATGTCTTTGGCTGCCTTACTCTGTGTGCTGAGGTTGTGGCACACTGTGTACCTCTCCCCCTTTGAGTCTCCAACTGTTCACCTTAGGGTCCTACCTTGGCTGTTCCAAGCCCCTGCTCCCATCCCTTAAGTGCCAGCTCAGCCAGTACAGTAGAAGATAGGGCAGGGAGGTGTGATCCAGGATGGTGGCCCTGGAAGGGAGCAAACCTTTTGTCCCCAGAAATGTGAGGCTCAAGAAAGGGCCAGAGGCAACCACCCTCTCCCAGGTGTTCCTCCCTAGCAAATCCTCCTGGCTTCCAGTGCAGGATCTTTCTTCTCTAGGAAACCTCTTCTGACTGCTGATTGCTCCCCAACCTTTCCAGATTGGGCTTCCTTGGGCATAGAGTCTACCTGCCCTTTTCCCTGGCATTCAGGATATGAGCCTGCGGGGTAGGAAGCCTTGATCTCATCCTGCATGCTGCCTGGAGTGGTGTGGTGGCTGGACCAACTAGGATCTACTTGGGTCTCTGGGGTCTGGTGGTATCTCTGTGTGAGCAGCTTTTAGTTTTAAACCTTACTTCCAAATCCATGATCTCTCTGGAATCTCTCAGCCACATTAGGAGAATGCAGGATCCATGGCATGCTTCATGTCCATTTCACAGAGGAGGATGCTGAGGCAAAGATGGAGCTAGAACACCCATCTCCTAAGTCTCAGAGAAGGAAGCCCTTTGGCACTGTGAAGGTCTCCTCCAATCCTGATCTTTGGTGAGGATGGGCAGGGGACAGGAAGAGCACTTAGACCTTCTTTATTGACCTGTCAGCAGGCCTTTGGTAACCTCTTACTAGAGTCACCCCAGAGCAGCTCTCTGGCTGTCTAGTACAAACATCTTTCTCAGATGGGGCAGCCACTGGGGCAGTTACAGTCTGAAGTAACTTATTCCCCTGACCTGATCTATGGGACTTCTTAACTCCAGCCTGGTTGAACTTATGCTTCTCAGATTTGGGACCAGAGAGCCTGTGCTCTGCTTGATGGTTTGCAAACCTGGTTCCTGTAATCCTCAGCATAGCTCTGGCATGTTAGTGTTAACCAGCGGATCAGAAGGGTGTTCTCCAAACATCCCCTGCTCCTAACAGCCTGGCACTCTGGACTAGATCCTGTCATGGTCCTTCTGTTTGAGCCCTGTGGGTGCAAGAGCTTTTCCCTTAGGTTAGCCATAGGGATCTAAATGTGTACTAGGGGGAGAGGAGCAGGGAGTGGGGATGTCTGGGGGTTACTGAGTCCACTTCCCTCCCATCTACTTGAGGCACAGGAGGCTGGAGCTGCCAGCCTCAGGCAGGCCTCTGTGACCCCCCTCAGTCCTGCTGGCAGCCTGGACTCATCCTCAGAGTTACTCAGGCCTTTGGAGGCTCTTTGTGGGGAGAGTGGCTGTCTCCCTCAGGTGTGGGGCGGACTGGGCCTGCTGGATGCTGCTATGCCTCCTGAGGCCTGTTTGTTGGCTTCGTCTCTCAAGCTGCCTCTCTGCCTCTCCTTGCTCTCTCGCTTGCTCTGGCTGACTCTCGGACTCGCTGACTCAGTCTTTCTTGGCCATGGGTTTGTCTTCTCTCACTCTGCCCCCTCTTCTCCTGTGGCTCCCTAAGCTTGGACTTTGTCTCCTAGGTGTTAACCAGTGCTATGGTTGACACGCTGGTGGCTGGAGCATGCCCAAACCCTTTTCTTGGCCCAAGTCCACCATCCAGGCCTGCTTGCATCCCTGTCCTGGGTCTGCCGGCCGGGGTTGTGCCCTGTTCCCCTGCTACCTTAGTGTAGTAGGACATGTAGTCTATCTGGGGTCTTAAGCCAGGGGAAGAGGGAATGCAGGTGCGGTACCTCTTTGGCCCTTGATCTATGCTGCAGGTGGCCCAGCCAGGTGCTTCCAGTTCCCACTGGCTGCCCCCCACTGACTGGCAAGGGGTAGAATCCAGGGTGATCCCTTAGTTTCCCTCCGCAACTGGGGCCTGACCCTGCCATTTTATGTTTTAACTTTTTAAAAATTATTGCATTCTAACAAATTCAGTGATAGCAAGGTGCCCCTGACCACTCAGGTCTCCTTTGGAGGAACTTGAGGCCTCTCTGGTCAATCTGAGTCTCCTTCATGGCTTCTGGGGCTCAGACATCTGCTCCCAGGAATTACACCTTGATCTTTCCTTGCTCCCCACTGCCAGGACTCCTACACTTGGGCCTCACACCACATTTGGGGGCATCTCCTGGTTTGAAGGCTGAGCTGCGTGGCAGTGCTGGGCCCTTCCCTGGATGGGCTCTGAAAGAGTCAGGCTTGAACCTATAGAGTGGGCTGGGCCACTGCAGAGTCACAGTGGAGAACACAGGGCAGGTGGGTTCAGATGGGCTGGAAGGGTTGGTGAGATTTTGATCTGCTGAAATGTTTCTGGTATTTGGTGGATGGATGCTCAATAAATCTTCGTTGAATCAATGACTGACGGAGAATGTGAATGTGAGGCCTTTGTGGGCAGATAAGGCCAGCGTCAGTGAAGGTAGGGAGGTGGGAAGCACAGGGCACAGGGGAAACGTGTTTGCCATGGAGCTGTTCATGCAGGGGCATAGGAGGCACTAAGCAGGTTGGCACAACATGGAGGAGGGCCTGAGTGCCCAGCTGAGTGTGGGCTGATTCCCTGTTCAGGGCTTGGGAGGTTGAAATTCCAGAGGGACATAATCAGATTTGTGATTTAAGCCGCTCCCTCTGGTGGTGGTGGGAGGGGTTGGCCAGAGACCCAGAGGTGTCCTGAGGCTGCTGTGGGAATCCAGGCTGATGTTGAGGGCAACTGCAGCAGGGATAGGCACCCGGCCTGCCTGCCATGCAGGGTTTTCCAGCCAGTGGAGGATGGAGAGGTTCTATCTAAGGGTGCTGATCTAGGTCATCAGAGTTGGGTGGCAGCACAGGTACCATCAGTCTTACCACCTAGGCACGCAGAGAGGGCAAGTGTGTTGGAGTCATAGATGCAGCTTTCAGCACTTATGCACTTATGCACTTGACCAAGCCCCTCAGTTTCCTTCCTTCCTTCCTTCCTTCCTTCCTTCCTTCCTTCCTATTTTTTGATACTGGGGACTGTACCCAGGGATGCTTTATCACTGAGCTACATCCTCAGCTCCCCACTCCTTTTAAATTTTGAGACATGGTCTCACTACGTTGCCCAGGCTGGCCTGAAACTTGTGATCCTTCCGCCTCCGTCTCCTGAATCACTGGGATTACAGACGTGTGCCACCACACCTGGTGAGGCCTTAGTCTTTGTCTGTAAAATGGACAAGTTTGCTTGTCTCCCTGGATAACTGGCGTGAAATTGGGCGGAAGTTTGTAACCTTGGAAGTGGGATACAAAGGGAAGGGGTTGAGGTTGGGGGGCACAATGGCACTGCTGTTTGAGGAAGAACTGGAGGTCCAGAGAGGGGCTCTGATGTGTACAAGGGCTGATGACTTGTTTTATATCAAGCTGGGATCAGGGATCTCTAGCCCAGGACTTTCCTGGTGGTCCTGGTGGCCTCCTGGGTAGGGGTATATGGGGTGACCAGGCCTCGAGCCTCTGCAGAGGATGTCCTCAGGCAGTTGTTTCTGTAGTCCAGCTGTCAGGGAGCATATGGGGCCATATGGCCACATAAGGGGAGGCACCGGCCTCTGGAGGAGGGATAGCGGCTGCCACGGTGGCCTTCTGGATCTATATGGGTATGCCAGCCACCAGGGTCAGGGTGGGAGAAGGCCAAAATGGAACCTTGGTGTCCAGGTTGGTTTGGACATGGAGGTTGGGTGTTGGCAGGTGGCCCAGTTCCAGCACCCATCTGCCAGGGCAGCTGGACAGGCATCTCCATGCCCAGGACTGATCCAATTAGCTTAAGGCCAGCTGTGCCAGCCACCTTCCTCCTCACATGCCCCACCCAGCTCTGATAGCTCTGCTGGTCCACGAATCATGGGGTGGAGGGATGCTCTGATACCAGGCTCTCGGGCCTCAGTGAGGTGTGTGTGCGGGGATGATGGGCACCCTCTCCCCGAGTGCTGAATTCTCTAGCTTTGAGGTTTTGGGGTTTGGGAAATGGGCTTTTCGAATCATCCTGGTGGGAGTGAAAGGGCCTGAGCTAGATGGCAGATGGAACTGGGTTTGAATTTTGGCTGAGCTGCTGCTAAGCCAGGTGAGCTTGGGCAAGTCGCTTCACTTTTCTGAGCCTCACTGTTCTCATCTCTATCACGGGGAGAAAGAAACTAACCTACTGGAGCCGTCCGTAG